TGGTACAAGAGCAAAGATGTTTCAGTCAGCATTTAGTACATTTTGTCTGAGGAAGACATATGCCCTGTACAGATCCTGGATACTCAGAGCCCATGTACCCTTCATGTCCCCCCCCCACCCTTTGGAGAAGATCCGGCAACTTGCCAAATGAGCAATGGTCCAGGGCGGTCACTCGACGGTCAGAGCATAGTCCGGCAAGTAAGACGTAGCGACGCTGGCTATAACCGGGCGCGCAGCCTGTTGCACACCGAACAAACCGAGGCGTCCAAAAATAAACGGCGCGGGAGTGCGTTCCTTGTCTGTTACGCTGCCAGTTGCCACGCCAGAAACGGGTACGAATCCATTCCGCAGGATTGGACGCGGATGCCAGAAACTGCGTGACTCAGTTCAAGAATTTCCTTAGGAAGACTTCAGCCCAGTATTCTGGAGGCCACGTCTCGTTTTAACAGTCATGCATCAAATACAAATGTTTTATTATTCATACGCGTTATTAAGCTCCTCTCGGGGCAGTTCGTACCTTTCAGATGCGAATACTCTCCTCTGTCTTAAGTTGGTTATTTAACGATGCTGAATGAATAAACGCTGAGCAGTTGGTTGAATCAGAATTTCCAGGAGAAAACGGAGTACACGGATAAAATGTCTGCAGTGCCAAATACCCAAAACAATCCCACATAAGCAGAACTGGCATCGAACCCGGGCCGCTGCGGTGGGAGAACTGCCACTAACCTGAGTATTGCCGCTGCCTCTTCTCAAGAACTTTCCTGAGAAGAAGGTAAATTTGTCGCTGTGGTTACTTTACCACCACGTCATGAAGACAGACGGAGGAGCGGAGGTATAGCTCCATGCATCCTTAAATTCGCCATTATCTGGATTTCAGTGCTCAGACTTAGGTCCCGGCCGCTTCACTCCCTGGGGAATTATTCTATTCGTACCCATTGTACAAGAGGTTGGTTGGGCTCCACTTCCGGTTTGGAGGCTGTGGAGAAAAGTTTCTTGCCTGTACCATGAATCGAACCACGATTCCTCAGTCATCCGGTCCGTAATAAAAGCAGCAAATATCTTAACAAAATGACAGAGCATGGCCTACCTGTAACGCTGCAGGCTCGTGTCCCGGAGGTACTTGGATCGAAGCTTCGCCGAAACACCGACCATGCGGAGTGAGGATGTTCATAGTTGCTCTCAGTCCCTCCCGGCATTTGCGGGATAGAACCTCAATTTGGCCACGACCGCTTCCTGCCAAATAATTTCCAATCCATCAGTCATCAATCAACCTAGCATTCGACGAGGTATGTATCCTAGATACTGGCAGTGTTGGAAAATATATCGCAAAGAAATCATAGATCAAGGCTTATCATTTCTCTGTAATCCAAGCGAGATTTGAGCCCCTGTGCTCGCGTTGCATCGGGTGGTTTGGAGCAGTAGAACTGGCGATGCTTGAAGCATGAGCGCCGGTAGGGGGAAAGGGGAAGCCAGATATTTGCCCCCCCCCACCAAAATTTTCCAAAACAAATAAATAATACTAATGTTAATACTTAATTACTTACTTACTTACTGAAGGGCCGCGCCATAGCTCAAGCGGTTAGTCGCTGGCTTCCCACCGCGGCGGCCCGGGTTCCATCCCGGGTCTAGTCAAGTGGGATGTGTGGTGGACAAAGTGGCGCTGGGGCAGGTTTTCTCCGAGTACTTCGGTTTCCCATGCCAATCTTCATTCCACCAATTGCTCCCCAATCACCCTCACCTATCATCTGGGGCTGGTACAATAGGCCAGAAGTGGCCGCAGTACAAGAGACTTAGTCCCACCCCACTGGCAATAAAAAATACTTACTCATGGAGCTAAGCCCTTCTTGAAGAGCCGCCAATTGTGCAGCTACTCAAGAATTTCACAGCGCTTTATGGAATCCAAAAGTTCATTACTGTGTTCATAAGAGCCCTTCACTAGTCCCTATCCTGAGCCAGATCAATCCAATCCATATCATCCAATCCTACCTCTCTAAGATCAATTTTAATATTGTCCACCCACGTAAGACTTGGTCTTCCTAGTGGTCTCTTTCCTTCTAGCCTTCCTACCAATATCCTATATTCATTCATCTTCTTACCCATTCGTGCTACATGCCCTGCCCATCGTATCCTCCTTGACTCGATCATTCTAATTATACTTGACGAAAAGTACAAGTTATGAAGCTCCTCATTATGCAGTTTTCTCCAACCTCCTGTCACTTCATCTCTCTTCAGTCCAAATATTCTCAACACCCTCAGTCTGTGTTCCTCCCTTAATGTCAGAGACCAATATTAATACAAAACTTAAAATGATTTTCCTAAAATAATTATTCTCGAATCCCGAACATACTTCAGTGATCAGAAAAAATAATCCTAAACGACTCAAATATGAGTATCTAAGCAAATTTTCTGGTCTTTCACCCCTTGGAAAAAAAAAAAAACCTGGAGCGTCCCGTGGCTCGAAATAAAATGTTTGTAACGCTAGGGGTACCGAGGGGCCTTTAAATACTTGCGGTACCCCAATTTGGACGTTTGCTATATTATGGGGCTGGATGTTTGTCACACCTGCATATGAAACAAGTTTAGTAGGTTTGGGGGGGGGGGCTATGAGTTGAGACGTTGTCAGAAAGCTGATGAAAACCCGTCACGTCTTGCAAGTTCGCCAAATGAAGCGTCAGGAAACAGTAACTTGCTTCTTGCGTCAACAGACCAGAAGTTGGCTGCGACATGCAGAAACAAATGCGAGAGCTACACAGGGTCACATGTCTCGGGACCACGTATACTGCACAAATAAAAGGCAAATTAAGGTAAAAATGTCCCCGCGCTTAAGTAATTAAGCATCACGCCATGAAGACGTGTGGGCGATTGAAGGTACAGCTCCACCATTTTTAACGTCGGTGTTAGATGGAGCTAACCATGCACCAACAGTACATGTGACCGTACGGAGGACATTTATCCCCATACAAACATAATGGTAACTAAATTTACCAGTCGCTTTAACTTTAAAGAATTCTATTTTTCTTTTTTTCCACAAAGCATGTTTATGTTTCCTATAATTCTCACAAAAAGAGACAGTGATTTTTTCCCTAAACAGCACTGAGAATCTGGTCTGGTCTTTCTATTCGAGGCACAGTGTGTCTTCTGTGACGAAAATACGCAATTCTTAAACACTTAATTGATTCAGTTCATGTTACCAGGATTTCTTTATTTTTTAGACCACAGCACCAACAGCCGTTCTCCAAAAGCCACAGGTTACAGTACAGCAGACTTTTTTCTTCTAAAACGAACCACTCTGTTTAACATTAAGAAAGTCTCAATATTTTATCACAGTGTATATCGTATTCACCGTCAGTTGTACTGTGACAGCCGCCGAGTCGAGTTGTACTGTAAGAGTCGCCGAGTCGAGTTGTACTGAGTCAGTCAGTGAGTCCTGGAGCTACCGCCGAGTTAGCCAGCAACTAGTCAGTTGTATTCTGGCATTTGGAGTGTACTATTTGTGATACTGCAGATATCAGTAATCGTGAATCTGTAATTTGTGTGATTGTAAGTGCGAATGTGAAATAAAATTCGCTACATCAAATACATCGAGAAGTTATTTGTCGCGATATACCCCGC